CCCCATTTCTTTCAGCTTGAGAAATGCTGAGCGTGTTCTTCTCTTTTGGTTTTCTAACTCCAGGTTTTACACATTTCATCCTAATACTTGGTTTTGTCTTCTCGAGCTGCCCTTTGAAATTTTCTGATCAGCTCTTTAATTTCATCTTTTCCAATTGCTTTAGCATGTCTACACTGGATAGCAAGTTTCAGAGTCTCTTCTGAAAAAGACTCTTTCATTTTGGTCTTTTCCTTCTTTCTTGTCTTCTTAATGACCTTTTGCTTTCTTTCTGTATGATATTCTTGATGTCATCCCACAACTCTCCAGGTCTTTGGTCATTAGAGTCTAAGACATCAAATCTGGTCTTGAGATGGTCTCTAAATTCAGGCAGGATATGTTCAATGTGAAATTTGGACTTTTGTGGACTCGTTTTAATTTTCTTCAGCTTCAGCCTGAACTTGCATATTAGCAATTGATGGTCTATTACACAATATGTCTCTGGCCTTGTTTTGAATGATGATATGAATGTATCTTTCCCACCATCTCTTCCCATAGATGTAGTCAATTTGATTTCTGTGTGTATAGTTGTGATTTCTGTTGAGGTCCATGTGTATAGTTGTCTTTTGTGTTGTTTAAAAAATGTATTTACAATGAACAAAAGATATTATAAAATTCTATCATGTGATCTCCAACATTGTTTCAATCACCAAGGCCTTATTCTTCAACTGTTGATCCTTTTTCCCTCTCAACCTCTGTATTCCAAACACCAGTAATTATTAGCACATCTTGATTTCATGTTTGATCTCCTTTGAACTGACGAAGCTAGTAGAATTCTTCAATTTCATCATCATCAGCTTTAGTGGTTGGTGTGTAAATTTGAATAATAGCGTTATAAACTGGTCTTCCTTGTAGGTGTATGATTATCCTGTCACAGACAGCGTTATACTTCAAGATATGCCTTGAAATGTTCATTTTGATGATGAATGTAACACCATTCCTCTTCATTTTGTTATTCCCAGCATAGTAAATTATATGACTATCAGATTCAAAGTGACCAACACCAGTCTATTTCAGCTTACTAATGCCTAGAATATTAATCTTTATGCATTGTATTTCATTTTTTT